CCCCAAAACTATCACCTTGAGGATGCCGCCGGCCCCACTCACCTGCCACTCGGGGTCGAACGTGCTCTTGTACTGGATTTCGTAGAGGAGGCTCTTGTGGGGCAGCTCGGAGCAGGTCACGGTCACGGCCTCCTCTGCCACCGGAAGGTCAAGTCTCCAGGGGGGTCGGGCTTCACTGAGGAGGGGGTCACAGAGCACAAGGTCATGAACACCCCCCGTCTCCAAAATGAGAGCGCCCCTTTCCCCCACATTCGCTATTTTAACATCTTACGAGATTTGGGGTGGATGGGGCCTGATTTTACATTTAGGCCCCGTGGGTGTCGGGATGGAACTTTCTAGAAGGCCAGCGCCTTCCGGGCTGGGGTAGGAATGGCGGGCTTCTGGGCACTTACGGTAGGAGCTGATCCATTGACTCTTGGCCAGAAGAGGACGCGTTCCGCGCCGGATGGAGAAGCTCAGGATTCCGTCCCCTTCGGCCTGCAGGACGCAGCCGACCGTGTGGCCGTCTTCGAGAATATACTCGGGGCAGGAGCTGTCGCCCTCGTTAGGTCGGAAGCTGTGGGTAAAAAAGAGAAACATTCAGGGGCCGGCCCGGTGGCTCAATGGTGAAGTGTGCACGTTCCACTTCCGAGGTCCCGGGGTTCACCGGTTCGGATCCGGGTGTGGACATGGCACTGCTTGGCACACCATGCTGTGGTAGGCATCCCACATATAAAGTAGAGGAAGACGGGCATGGATGTGAGCTCAGGGCTAGTCTTCCTCAGCAAAAAAAAAAAAAAAAAAAAAGAGGAGGATTGGCGCAGTTAGCTCAGGGCCAATCTTCCCAGCAGAAAAAAAAAGAGAGAGAGAGAGAGAGACAATTCAGCCATGGAGCGTCTTTGAAAATAATATCTTGACTCGTCCACTGGACATTCTTATGCTCCACGCCTCGGTAATGGATTCAGAGTGGGTACCTTTTTCACCCGGTTCAAAGGTTCCCCCCTCACAACTACAGCGAGACGTGTGCAAACAGCCAAGACGCCGTCTCTCGATTGGTTGAACCCCTCGAACAGCTTCCATAGCAGGTGGAATTGAGAGCCTCCAAAACGCACGTACAGGTATTAATCCTGGTCCCTGTGAACGGGGTCTTATTGGAAATGGGGTCTTTGCAGCTGTGATGAAGGGAAGGATGGAGAGGAGGGCTTCCTGGAGGAGGCGGCCCTGAATCAAGGATGGAGAGGAGGTCTTCCTGGAGGAGGCGGCCCTGAATCAAGGATGGAGAGGAGGGCTTCCTGGAGGAGGTGGCCCTGAATCAAGGATGGAGAGGAGGGCTTCCTGGAGGAGGCGGCCCTGAATCAAGGATGGAGAGGAGGGCTTCCTGGAGGAGGCGGCCCTGAATCAAGGATGGAGAGGAGGGCTTCCTGGAGGAGGCGGCCCTGAATCAAGGATGGAGAGGAGGGCGTCCTGGAGGAGGCGGCCCTGAATCAAGGATGGAGAGGAGGTCTTGCTGGAGGAGGCGGCCCTGAATCAAGGATGGAGAGGAGGTCTTCCTGGAGGAGGTGGCCCTGAATCAAGGATGGAGAGGAGGGCTTCCTGGAGGAGGCGGCCCTGAATCAAGGATGGAGAGGAGGGCTTCCTGGAGGAGGTGGCCCTGAATCAAGGATGGAC